CCCCCCCCAACAGGCCATCACAGAAATCCCAGAGGTCCGCGAGCGCTGGAAGAGTGTCCACGGAAAGTACCCAGACCAGACGGACGTGGACGCCATGTTCCGAGACTTTGTGCCCATGCAGCTGGCGGTGCTGGGCAAGTACTCGGAGCTCATCCCCGGGACGCCAAAGACCATCGACATACTGCGCCAGGAGCTGGGCTGCAAGATCGGAGTCACCACCGGCTTCACGCGCTGCATGGTGGACATCCTACTTGCAGAGGCCAAGAAGCAGGGGTGAGTCAGTGAGTGGGTGGGTGGTTGGTAGGGGCTCAGGTGTGGTTTGCTGCTCTTTTTTTTTTTTTCATTTCAAACATCTATTGTCCATATCTCTCTTCTGTCTTTTTCATATGTATGTTACTCTCTTGTAAATCGTCAATAATCTTCGACACTCAGGCTTATATGTGTCACAAGGCAGTGCAATCAGGTGCTTGTCAATTTAAGGGCATGTGGAATATTGGTATCATCTTAAAGCCAGTTCATTTCTCTTGAATAGAAGTCAAGATATAGCGACCTCTGTGCTTTCTTGTCATACCTCCATTTTTAATAACAGTGAAAACAGCTCATAACAAAGAGTGAGCTTAAGAAGAAGTCACAGTTTCACTGTTAAAAAATGGAGATATGACAAAAAAAGCACTGAGGTCGCAACATTTGCAATTGAAGGAGGTGGGGGTTGCTCAGTTTTAGAGGTAAAATTTGTGAGAAAATTACCACCACAGTTTTGTGACTGCCATAGCTCGAGAGTCCTTGGAAACTGACAACTTACCTTTTTCGTGTGCCTCTATTGAACGTTTTTCAGTCAAATCCACACAGAAATGTGAATTTAAATAGATATAAAAGGTGTTGAGCCAAAGAAGAAAAATTCAATAAATATTGCCAAACCGGCTGAAAAATGCCAGTTTCTTCTATATTTCAGTATTTTGACGAGCGCCTGTTTTCACCACGCTGACTTACATATCTCTCTTCCCTCTTTTCTTTGTATGTTACTCTCTTGTAAAACTTCTCATTTTTTGGCACTTGTATAACCTGTTTTTATCGCAATTGCCTGGGTGGTCGGCTGGTGCTCTGGTATGGTTTGCTCCTTCTTTCCTGTCAAACACCAATCGTTGTTATCTTTCCTCTTTTTTTTTTTTTCTTTTGGTTACTCTCTTGTACCACTTCTAATCTTCGGCACTTGTATGAACTTATGTGTTGCAAGTGCCATAAAACTCTTACTAAAACTAAACTAATGCAGTGGGCTTTATTACACTGTGTCATTCACCAACTATTGTCTTACTTCATGACGGAAAATGCATCCCCTCTCCCCTTTCCTTCGTGGAATGAATTTATTTCAGGAAGGGGGAGTGGGAATATGGATGTAAAGACATTGAGGCGTACAATAGTCAGTGGTGTTGTTTTCATATTTTAAAGATTTTGTGACTTTAAAGACTTGTTAAGGGTAAAGGTATTTGGGTAGAAAAGAAAAAAAAACATAATTATTGTCGTGCCAAATGTTATCCCATCCCAAGCAGTGCTCTATTCAGTTGTGGGGTAAAGAGATTAATAGCGAGTGGTTCTCTGTTGGCTTATTTCCGCTGAGTATTTAAAAGAAATTGTCCCAACCGCGTGCAGTTTTGCAACATCCTGCATGCATTAATCTGGCTGTTTTGGGTTTCCAAGGCATTTTGTGGGCTTCACAAGCATTTGGTTTTGTTACATTTTACACTCGAGGCCAAAAAACCCCCACCAAAACAACTAGCTTTTATTGTGTTAGTTGTTCCAATCAGGAATCATGAAAAGCAAGAAAAATAGTAGGCCTTGACCATAGCATTAAACTGCACTTTGGCGATGTTAAAAGGTGCCTCTTTGATAGAGGTTTGGAAGAGTAAAAATCGTAAATTCTCAAAATTTGGACTGAAGTGGATTGTTTGCAACAGGGACAGTTTCTTTTGTAGCTGTATGACAAATGTGAAAGCTTAAGCGTTACTTTGCCGACACAAGAACAATGGTCAATGGGTAGGGTAAGTCTGAGCCTATTTTGTAGGATGAGGTGATACCAATTTTATAATGATTGAAATCATATGAGTCTTTCGTTTTTTTCTGGCTGCCCATCTGGTCTTATTAATTTTTTGTCCTTGTCAATTGAAATTTGTCCCTTGAAATGTCAGGGAGTCCTAGACTTCTGGTGGTACCAGTCTTAAATGAGTATAAATATGAGGCAGAGAGGACTTTTTTTTCTATTATGTCTGTGGTAGAACAAATTACATATATATCGTTGTCCAACTCTAACCTTGCATCCACCAAATTAGTTTTAACACTTTGCTACCGTAGAATTACAAAGTTCTACCTGCTCAGTACCTAGTTTTCAGTAATTTGACTTGTTAGAAATTTTGAGTTTCACAACATGTCAAGATTTTTCAAATGCAATTCTTTGAATACCTTGATAACGACTCCAAATAATCTTACAATTTTGATAGAGCGCAGAGAACATTTGGTTTCTGACCTCATAGTCTTAATAACTCAAAAAAGCCTAAATCGTCAGATAAAGCCTTGTAATTCAAAGGTAGTGACTGCTTTTGTCAGCAATTATATGTTCACAACCATAATTACAACTGGCAATACCATAACAAGTGAAAAGAACATTCTACACAAAATTTTGAGCAATTTTGGAAGATACTAAGAAAAAAATCACATTTGCTCCCCCAAAAAAGTGTTTGACCTAATTCTGTGTCTACACAGTTGGGAGCTGGATACCGACAATATCAGTTTTGATCTGCAGTTACGGGCAGGTGTGCACTGTATTGCTTCTTGATTGATAACTCAACTTTTCTATCCCGCCCAGGTATGTGCCCGATGTGAATGTAGCCGGTGATGAGGTGGTGAATGGGGCTCGACCCAAACCTTTCATGGTTTACCGCAACCTGGACCTCCTGGACGTACCCGACATCCACTCTGTGGTCAAGGTGGACGACACGGTTGCTGGCGTGGGCGAGGCTTTGTCGGCAGGCTGCTGGGGTGTTGGCGTGGCCCGGCACTCTAACTACATGGACATCAACAGCCTGGAGGAAGAGGACCAGATCCCAGAGGAGGAGATACAGAAACGGTTGCAGAAGTCACGGAACTTGCTGGTGCAGACTGGCGCGCATTATGTCATCGACACCATCACAGAGCTTCCGGAAGTGGTGGCCGACATCAACGCAAGGCTCGCGCGGGGGGAGAGGCCATAGTCAGGAAGCTTTTCAAGCCTTTTATGTCCTCGTTTGGTCTCGTTTTTGAAATCTTTTTGATGCTCATCATGTTTTTTGATTCTGAGACAGAATAGAAGAGTTCTCATCATGGTCTTCGAATTTTTTCCCTCTCTGGTGGTTTTTACCATTGCAATGTTTTTGTACAAGCTATCAGCCTCTGTGGTGTATTATCTGTAGTTCATAGGTATGTATTTGTAACTGTTGTTACTGTATTATTCTACAGTGCAAACATGGGCTATTATGGATATTCATGTCAAGACTGTTTTGTTAGATTATATGTAATGTGTTTTTTAATATATTTGCAACCTGGTGGTGTTGTGAATATAAAATTTGATGGCATGCCTACCTGTATTTTAAGTTACTGCAATATGTGTATACATGTCAATATCACCATTTGTTAAGGATTTAATTAGCAGTATTTTCCTCTGTAGAGCTCAGGAAAGCCAGACAACGCAGAATGTGAATAAAGAAAAATATCTACAAATTGCTAGGGTACGACTGAAATAATCAAAGCATCAACTTTTCGATTAGTATGGAAGGTACTGCATGTATGATATTAATCATCATCATCATCAATGCCTTTCACCCCTGGCAGGGTAAAGGCCACATACAAGCTCCTTCCATTTATCTCTGTCGTGAGCCATCCTTCCAAGCTCGTTCCAAGTGAGCTTCATCTTTCTCATGTCCCTTTCCCCGCATCTCCATGTTTCCCGTGATATTAATACCAAAAGAAATAACTGTTTTGTGTCTTGCATTAATCATTATTATAATATCAGCTTGCTTTGTCTGAGTGACAAGTGTTTTTCTATTAGATTCAGAAACCTTACTTGGACTTTGTTATGGATCTGGTTTATTCGCTTTCTTGTTAACGACTTTGACTAAGGATTTGTGGTCTATTTTGATTTTCTTTGTCCTGACTAGAAGTGATAGTAATGGCTTTTATCTAGCTTTGGGTTTTGGGGAAAACAGTTCACATTTTTTTGATAATGAGTTTATTTAGACCTGAGCAGGATGATTGAGGGACTTTTCCAAGTTTGACTTTTTTGGAGAAAAATGTGCGCAACCCCCCCCCTCCCTCCTGCGGATGAATGATGTATTTAACCTGCTTGTAATAATGTTGAACAAAAGACTACATGATTACGATGAAAACAATGGATAGGGAAGAATACAGGGGTGTTTTTCCCCAACACTTTTATGCTTATTTTTGAGTATGTGACTGTGCTTTTGTTGCAGTAGAAAGATTACTTGTCATAATGACATAATGTTCAAAAAGCTCTACTGGATAGAAGTACTTGTTGTTGTTGGGGGGTTTTTCCTTTTTGGTTGGGTATGTTTTGTTGTTATAGTTTTGTTTGTTTTTTGTTTACACCTTGATCACTGTATGGCTATGATGTGAACAATTACGCCATATTTTATTACTTTTGGTAGCCAAGGCTTCCCGAGAGAGACCCTTTGGCTATTGTTGCATCTGCTACTGTTTGTAAAAAATTGTTTGTCAGCTTTTCCCATAAACCATTCTGTCCACACCAACTATAGAACAAATGGTCTTTATTCACAGCTTCACCGTGTGGCTTTTAGATGGTCTGTGATAATGTTACTGTCTTGCATAACGAATGCAAATGGAGATACAGAACATTTTGTGTTTTATAGTATACATGCCATTGAAGTGATAGATAGAATAAATTAAGTGATTGTGGGAGGTTTATATCTCCTAGCTTCATTCCATGAGAATTGATACATTTTTCCTGATATTTCTCTGAGAAGTTTCCTCGTTGCTTGATTCAGTGCTCTGTGTCTTCTTTGTTAAGTTACCTTTGTCATGGGGACGAGTTCCGTGCTGTCTGTTTGTTTGTTTGTTTGTTTTTCTATGTAGAATTACAAACTTTTTTTTTTCACATAACTTTACTTTTTGTCTTCAAAGTAACCTTTTCGTTTGCTTTGGGGCAGCTTTTAGTTTGAATGCGAGTCTTTATGTATAATTATATTTTCCAAGGTATCAATGCTACCGCATTGTTGTGACCATGTTCCTCAATGAAGTGAGAGTTGTCCAAATATGTACCTTGTCATGTTCTGCAACTACATGAATAACATACACGATGTATTGTCAATTGACTGTTTGACCCAGTGTTGACTGTCCCCTTGCTTTTATGAACTTTTGATTTCTCAAAAGTGATTCAATAAAAACATGGATGGATACAAGATGTTTTTCCTTTTTTGTCATTTTTATCCATTTCTAGTGCGTTCCAGTTTATGAGACATCTTTTCAATGTTTTTTTGTTGTTGTTGTTTTGTTTTTGGGTATTTTTGTGATGATAGCATACCAGACGAGGCTCATAAACTGGAAGTCAGAGTGAGATCGTTAGTGGCTAGTGCACACTGCTGGTGTGCTTTGCAGTCTGCTTCTTTACTTCAAACTTGTTTTATAACAGTTATGATCTTGTATTCTTGTGAAAAGAGAAGGTGGATTGTTTACGTCCACTAGAGGCCTACTCCTTCTATTTCTTTACATTGGCATCTATGGTGTAACGCTTAGTCGCTTCGCTGTTGTCTGCAGGAGACTCAATTTCAGTTCCTGAGTGGGGAGAATTTTTATCGAGGATCTCGGTCTTCCTGCTGGAATGTCGTATCCCTCTCACTCCAGGTTGATCCCGACAGGTAGGGTCAGAATCCGCCTCCTAAATCATCTAAATTGTGTCAATGAAGGCATATTAATTTTCTTAAAGTATTTCTTTTCAATGTTACTGCTCTCTCAATTTGTTCCTTGTGAGATGTCTGTTAAAATGTTGGTTGACCTTGTAATACAACTTGGTAATGACTCAGAAGTAAGTCCCTAGACTGACGTATTAATGTCTTGGTTTCAAAAGCGAGATTCAGCTTTGCTGCTGCCTTAAGACAGTTGTATAATTTTGTACTTACTTTACTTACTTTTACTTTTTCATCCTCTGTTGCCGATAAGCGTCGAGGGGAGATGCAGTTTTTATGGTAGGCCAACTCCGCAGATCTTTCAGTTGTGATGTTATGTTTTCTTAGGGTTTCCTTGACACCCTCAATCCACCTTTTGCGTGGCCTTCCTCTTCCTTTATAGCCTGAGTGCTTGATGTAGTAGGCTCTCGAGGCTGGCTGGTCAGGTGACATGCGTAACAGGTGGCCAAACCATTTTGTCCTCTGTCTTTTTATGTAACGCAGGCAGGACTCAGTGCCGATAGCTGCTCTTACTTCTTCCATTTCTCTGCCTGTCTCGTCTTGTGATGTTAAGGGTTTTGCGGAGACATTTCATTTCATATGCAGTGATTTTGCTTTCATGGGTTTTGCTTAAGGTCCAGGTCCGGCACTGATAACATAATGTTGGTATGAATATTGAGGTGATAAGCTGTCTCTTTGTGTCCATAAAGATGTTTGGATGAGATAGGAGGGGAGCGAGCTGGTAGGTGACAGCGTTGGCTTTTTGAGCTCGCATTTCTATTTCTTTGTCTATGGACCCGTTTTCAGAAAAAGTGCTGCCAAGATATTTAAACTCCTTTATCTGTTTTAGTTTGACATGGATGTTCAGGGGACTATGGTTTCGGCTCACTTTCATAACTTCTGTTTTTTATGTTGTATAATTTGAAAAAATAAATAATTAGATGTAGGCCTACACATATCAACCTCAAAACGAGGAGTGGACATGTGTACCTGGGCTGGAAGCGAGGATTATCATGCTTATATATTCACGTAAACTTTCAACAAGTGAAGACAGTAACAAATGTAATTATGGTCATGTATGTTTAATTAATGAGACAATTACTAACATAAGTAGCCTATCGTAACCGATGACATTGACGATTACAGTTTAGTTAAAATTAAGACTGTACCACACTACAAGTAAATCCTCTATTTAGTTACAACTTTCAAACAAACAACTTTAAGAGCTTAATACGTTGTTTTCAAACATTCCCCACTCTTTCTCCACACAAGATCATTATAATCGTAATGTTTATTCCGCTTTACTGACACAATATTATGAACAGATAAAGATGACGTCACTACAGCCATTCGTCGTCATCCACACAGTAGTCTCTGGCATCTTCGTAGATTGGCTGGACGGCCACTGGGGAATATATAACAATGGTGCGCTGTTAATTACTTTACAGTACAGTTGAACCTATTCTAGCAATCTAGCAGACAGTTATAAACTGACCTCTTCAGACTCCCCCCTTGCATTTTTTTCTATATTATTATTTTAGGGAAACAGTCCAAGACACTCGATTACCCGTCTAAGAGAATTATTTTTTCTCCTCGACAAAGGATGGTTGTCTTAAGTGTAATTTCAATTGCAGTTTGATTGTAGTTAGTGATTATAATTGCCCCCATCGACACTAAATCTAAATTGTGCAAATGGAAAAAGAATAGGAAATTCTGCTTTCATTCGGATTACGGCTGATTTTGGAGTATCCATTTTTGTTTTAAAGCGATCTCCACTGAATAGTTTAGATCATTTTGGAGGTTGGCTGTTTCGACTTGGTGTGCGACCTGTCAGGACCAACCCCGGGTGAAAAGGATACAGCAACACCCAAGCAGACAGAGAGAATTACTCGATAAAAAATGTGAGGCAGCGTGGTGGAATCAGGCTCTCGTCAAAATAATGGAATTAAAGAAAACTGCAGTTTTCTCCATGCTTAGCAATTTTTATCAAATTTTTGTTTTTTGGCTCAACACCTTTTATGTCCATTTACAAACACATTCATTTGAGGATTTCACAGAAAAACAATGATTAAAGGCACAAAAATATAAATTTACAGTTTCCATGGACTCTCCAGCTTTAGAATTTACCAAGCTTTGGCGGCCATTTTCTCGCTAATTTTACCTCTTAAACCAGGTGACCCTCACCTCCTTCAATTCAAAATATCTCCACTTCTATTGAAGATGAATGGGTAATTTTTCAAATTGAAAGCAAGACGAATGAACAAACTTTAAGAGGTTACCAATAACTCAATATGCCCAAAAATTGACGAGAGCCTGATTCCACCACGCTGCCTCACAAATTGTACCCACATGGGAATCGAACTCTTGTCTTTTGAGAGTGATGGCGAGGATCCTATACCGCTACATGACAGAAGCTGGGTGGTTGGCTGGTGCTCTGGTGTGGTTTGCTCCTTCTTTCCTACTAAACATCTATCGTCCTTGTCTCTTTCCTTCATTGTGTGTATGTATGTGTGTGTGTTATTCTCTTGTAACACTTCTAAACTTCCGCTTTTATATGACCGAATTGTGTTGCAAGTGTAGTAAAACGTTTTCTAAAACGTAAAAAAACCACCACAGAAACTGCTTTAGTGACATTAGTTGATAAGAGGATTGAAAGCATCAAGCTGTACATGTTGTAAGGTTTCTGTCAAAGGATGACGGTGGAGTTGTTCATTAGTAATTTCATGCGAAATCGTGCCCCTTCTGAGTTTAAACACAATATTACAGGACAACAAAGAGTCAGTACTGATAAAGTACTACATGTAGGCCCTATGTGCATGTGTGTCCGTCTTCTTTCGGGCAGAGTGGAGATCTTAATTAAGACTGTCCTTCAGCTAATGAGATTCAACCACTCTAGTCTTATGCAACTGATCTCACTGTAATTATTTCGCCTCTGCGAGTGTTGAGCTGTATTGTTGAACCTTTTAGTTTTACATGTCCCTGTCCAAACCCCAAGAGAGAGAGAGAGGGAAAGAGAGAGAGAGAGGGGGGGGGGGCGATTTTTGGTTAAAAAAGCAAGCTGTTCCACCAAAGGGCGCAATCCGCCCACTGGCGGAGTGTCACTGTAACTAGCACAAGTCTGTCGTCTGTCAACTGCCAGCCCTGTCTATTAACTCTTTAAGGACGAAACGCCCGCGTGTGTGTGTTGCATTGTGGTGAAATCAGGTGCTCATCTGACTCATCAAAATCGAAATAATAAAATCAGAGAAACCGACTCCCCCCCCCGTTCGGCAGTTTCTTCTAGTTTTTATTTTTAGGCTCAACACCTTTTAAGTCCATTTAAGAATACATTTTTGTGTGGATTTTACTGGAAAAACTTTGAGCAAAGGCACATAAAAATACAAATTTGCAGTTTCCAATAACATTTAACACTCAAGCTTTGAAAGTCACCAAATTTTGGCGACTATTTTTACTTCTGACACCAAGCAACCCCCACCTCCCTCAATGGTGAATATTTTGACTTTTACCCAAGATATATTGGAATTGTTATTTTTTTCCTTCTTTCATTAAAATAACTACACATTGTCATTTTAAAGATGCTATCAATAACTCCATATGCCCAAAGCTTGACGAGCGCCTGATTCCACCACGCTACGACACACATGTTCCACCAGCAGACCAAAGGAAATGTTGCAGCACATTTCTAAACCAACATACACAATCAGAATAGATACAAAATTGCATATTTTGTAGTAATTTGCTGTTGCCTACCTTTTTGAGTTTAAGAAAAAGGAAACAGAATTGAAAAACCTGTTTGACAAAAAAAAGGTTTTTTAAGTGCTCCAAATTGCGTCTTCAAGTGCGTTGTCGAATTATCAGAATGTGCGTCTCAATGCGTTTAAAAAATGGAGAAAAGAAATTGGTACGATTTGAACTTACTTGACCTATTTCGCAT